ACGTAGAACTAACTGGCCTGCAGAAGATAACGAAGAAACACAGATTTTAAGACAGGATTTTTTTTAGATAGTAATTTTCTAAATTTTTGGACAATATGGTCTGATAAAGAGAACATTTATATACATGTTTAAGCCAGAAGGATTTGACATTTCTTCCCCACGACTTTAACAATGAATGTCCAGAAAATCGGGGTTTGGTGGAGCAGCCGCTGGATGGAGACGCCAAGCTAAAACAGTGACAGTGGTACGGTGTCTCTCCGCTAACAGGATAAACCGACTGTCTCAGTCTGCTGCGTCTTAAAGAACACAGAGTGTTTATAACCTTGTTCAGCGTTCATTCTGCAGATGAAAGATTAATAAACATCCAGGAGTTCAACTCAAAAGTTAAATAAAGCTGGTAGAATAGTTTGATATGTAGGAACAGAGAGCAGCTCTGATCATTATCGCTGCACTAAAACATTTTAATGAACTTTAGAGAAACAGTTTATAAAAACCCAGATTAACTAGAAATGTTGAAATATTCGATGATATATTCTGGTTCTTGCAGTTTTTACCCCAAACCTTAAAAACTCTTTCTATTCCCTTCCAGCCGCAGCAGGAAACCCGCCACAGGCTGGCCTTCCAGAGGCTGGCCTTCCAGCAGGGATTCCCAGCTTGAGGTCTGCAGCTCCCAACAAGAACTGCAGATTATAGTGGGATTATAATCCAGATGAACGGATGAACAGAGAATGTCTGGAGGTGGAACATTTTCACCAGTAACCATAAATAAGCAGGATTAAACAGGACGGCTGAACCTTGATCTTTATATTTTCACGTTGTCAATCTTCCAAAACTAAAACAAATAATTTGAGATTATATTGTTTAATCAATTAATCCAGGGATTATTTCTGGATGATAATCTGATCCCCAGTAATGATAAATTTAAGGCTCATTTCCCCAAAGATCAAACAAATCTACAGTCAATTATTCTGATACTTGGATGGGAAAACAAACGTCTTCAAGCTTGGAAACAAACTGGGAATCCGCACCAGGAAACAGTCCAGTTCGTTTGGAGGCGGAGCTTTAAAGCCGTTACCCCTCAGTGTAAACTGGGAGGGAAATATCCCATGGCAGCCATGTTGTCCTGCTCCTCCTGCAGCCCTTTATGGGACGCCTACACTGCAGCTGTTCCTTCTAATCTGATGGATTTTCTCCTTTATGATGGTTTTTATAAACCGCAAAGTTTCAGGCTGACGTCAGAGTCTCCCGGACAGGAAGCGGCTCGCTTTGGGAGCTGTTACCAGTACGGTCCCAGTCCCCCCACTGCTCTAACAGACTAATGATGCTGGATCCGGATACCTGGAAGAGTTCTGGAGCAGCGTACGGAGGAGACCCGCAGAACGTGTCCAGCTTTCCTCCCAGCGTGAACTCGTTACTGAAGCCAAAATCTGCGATCTTGATGTTCATGTCGGCATCCAGAAGGAGGTTCTCCGCCTGCAGGAAGACAGGAGGAGGAAGAGGAGGAATGATCTTCCTCTCACAGTTAGAACTGGGGAAAAAAATCGATTTCATCAGTTTTGGATCAATTCCTTTCTATATTTTTTTTAAATCAATGCGTAGGGAAGGAGATGGATTAGTTTCATAGTGGCGTTCATGTTAAAATGAGCGTATCAAACCGTCTGGAACCATTCTGGATCTAAAACAACTAAAGATAACTTCCTGGATGAAACCAGTCAGGTGGAGGTCAGAGAGTTTAGAAACACAACAATCCCAGAAATCACTTCACAAGATATCAGGCTATGCTAACATCCAACAGCTAACCCTCCGGATCTAAACACATGAACCGGAGTGACTGGTTAGCATCACTAGCTGATTCACTAGCAGGTCATCAGGATAACAGACGCCATCGACTTCTGTGGGTAAAGATTTCCGGCCCGCTCTGTGGAGGAAAGGCTTCCAGCGGCGCGTTGATGATGCTGAACCAAACCATGCTATGGTGATCCCATGATGGGCACCAGTGACTGACAATGAAAATGCATTTAGCAGACAGTCAGCATAACTGGTGACACGTCGCTGCCAACGCAGTCCTACAGGACGCCGCCTTCCCACCTCGTGACTCTGGTCTACAGACCACAGAGTTACCTCCAGCTGCAGGTATAGCTGACAGGTTGATGGAAGCCATAAACCAATGAGGGCTGACCAGCAAACACCAATATGCTCATGGTCCCGCCTCCTGCGCTGCGATTGGCCCATCCAGACATTAGAGGAGGAGAGAGCTGCCATCATTAAAGCAAAGCCAGAAGTCCCATTTCACCCACACAGTGGCATGGCGGTGGCAGCATCATGCTGCGGGACAGAGAGGCTGCTCAGAGTGGAATCCAGATAGAGAACCTGCTGCTTCATGGAAACAGGAAAACCATGCGTAACCTAATGGCTGCTTCTGGATGGCAGGCTGCCCTGAGGGGGCTACAGAGATGACCTTTGACCTCCTGTATCAGCTGTAGGTTAGCTGTCTGCTAGCTGTGAAGCTACCAACTCCTCTGACAGGGAGGCTAGTTGAACTGACTCAAAGGTAGACCTTCCATCACACCTGGATTCCTCTGCAGGAACATTTTGTGGTCAAAAGGAACCACTGGAACCAGTTTGGTAGAACAACTGGTGAGCAGGCTGACTGCTGTCATGATGCATTTAAGGCGCCTCGGTAATCTGGCTTACCTTAAGGTCCCTGTGAACAATGTGCTTCTGATGGCAATACTGGACTGCAGAGACAATCTGAGGAGAGAAGAAGAGGGAAGATGAAAGAGACGGATGGATGGATGGACGATGGATGGATGGATGGATGGATGGATGGATGATGGATGGATGGATGGATGATGGATGGATGGATGG